TTTTTTTTTTTTTTTTTTGGAATTTGCCTCATGCCATAGGGGTGTTGAGCATGAAGCTTAAAATGTGAAGGAAGAGAATGTACTTTTTCTCTACTTTTTCTGTAAGCCTAAACACAAAACAGGTGGACACTTGGCCTTCAGTATTGCCTCAGATATGACAGTGACTTCACTTTTTTGTGTAAATGATACTCAAATGTGAGGTAATCATGTAAATAATAGCTTTTCTTCTCATCCTCTAGATTTAGTGTAAATTTCAACAAATGTGAACATTTGTGGTACTAAAGCGAAAAAGACTGTATTAAAAATATTTCAATGATGTTCTTTCCTGTCCACTACCAGAATATGAATTTGGTTAAGTCAACTGTACAGTCCACCCGCTACATGTGCAGGTTTAGTAATAGTTTGGAAAGCCACTATATCGCCATCTGTTTATCCCCATGTACTTCTATGTATTATCAGGGCATAAGGTTGCAGTTTTGTCTTTCATTTACTACTTCACCTTTAGATAGATATTATTCTCCATCTCCAACTACACTGGACTAAAACTGCCCCACTGTTACTATGTATTGATCAGTGCTCACCACAATAATGCTTTGACATAGCAGTTTAAAACTTTTGACCTTTTAAAGAAAGTGTAGCTGGTTTTTCTGCTTCCTAACATTTGTGGGATACCTGGAACAGATGTGCTTCAGGCTTAGGCAGGGTAGATTTTCTTCCTTTCTTTGAATGATACTAGTTCTGCTCCTCATATCCCCTCATTTCCAGAGTCCTGGACTACCTGAAACATGCTTTTTCTTGGAAAATCACAGAAAATTCCCATTTGTGTTTTAGATGTTCCAACAAAGTCTTATACAGACATAGGTGGGGCTTTTTAAGATTAAAGTATGCTGGGACTGATTCATGATGCAGTGCTATGTTCAAAGGCACTAGGATTAAAGATGGAAGTGCTTCTTATGCTATACAACCTAGATATAATGCGCAGGACAGAAGGAGCCATGGTATTCCCTTGCTTGTTTTGCTATCTTCTGCAGATCATGAACTGTTTCTCCTATGGAATGCCTCTTTGCCAAGGCATGGAGCCAGCCAATTATGAATTGAAGCTACTATAAACTGTAAGCTAAATAAACATTTCCTCCTTTAATTTTGAGTGTTCAGTATTTTCTCTCAGCAATGAGAAAAGTATCTAAGACATCTATCTCCATTGTTTGATTTTTTTTTTTTTTTTTGAGACAGGGTCTCACTATGTAGTTGAGACTGACCTGGAACTCACTATGTAGCCCAGGCTGGTCTCGAACTCACAGCCATCCTCCTGCCTCAGCCTCGCGAGTGCTGGGTTTACAGGCGTGCTCCAGCAGGCCCAGCTCATCTATGTCCTTTGTACCTCTACAGACCATGGCTAAGAAAGCATGCTGTCTCATAAGCCTAGGTCCCATTAATGTGAGTGATGACATGGCCAGACTTATTAACAATGGGAAAAAGAAACATACTGGCTGCTTGCCATTGCAATAACATTACAGTTGGAACCAGATAAGTCCACAAAAATGCTGTAGAATATAGACTGAATTAACTCAACTGAAGTTTTTCAGTTTCTATGAAGTTACAATTTTAGTTTTGTGTTTGCAGTAATTCAACTTCACTATTGAGCTTTTCGAGTTTGAAGATTTCAATCTCTAAAAAAAAAGTGCCTTATTGTGTTAGTTGAAATTGAATAGACTCAATTAGTCCAATTCTAATTAGTCCTGTATTTCCTCTGAAAAACAAACTTACTCTGCCATAAATAAGACAGTCCTTTCAAATAATTGAAATGATATCCCCAATGCCTTAACACATTTCCTCCATAAATTGTTGTCCAAATGTCTCCAGAAACAAATGAGCTTGTTAATATATAGATTCTAAAGTCTTTATACAACTCAAATATAAAAATTGACCATTTCTGATGATTTTATACTATTAATAATTTAATTACTAGTAATTTTTAGAAGTGACACAAAAGATGAAAAGATAATATTTATTCACTTATTTATACAGAGGTAGGAATTAAGCCCAAGGCCTTTTTTATGCTAGGTAAGTGTTCTACCCCTGAGCGAATCCCTATCCAGTTTCATTCTTTGATTGATTTATTTTCTGTAACCTTCAGACTCTTTTAAACCTGACATAGGCTAGTTTTATTCTTTCATTTAGTATTGTATTGAGAATATTTTCATATTCCAAGAAATATAGATTCATTTTCAATTATTTTGATTTCTGAAACATTTATATTCTACGTATATAATTTCTTTTATCTGATTTTTCTCTTTTCTTTCTTTTGTCTTATATTGAGTTAAAAGTTTTTTTATTTTTTATTTTGCCTCATTTTATTTTATTTATTTATGTTTGGTACCAGGGATTGAACTCGGGACCTTGTGCTTGCAAAGCAGACAGTGGAACCACTGAGCTAAATTCCCGGCCCTCTTTGGCCTTATTTTACAGTGATATAGCATATATCTGGTACTCAATGTATGAATTTATATTTTTAATATGATTATTTTAAAAATATGAATTTAAATAAAACATTTACTCTTCTAAATACAGCAAGGATTTTAATATGTTGTAACTATGATATCTTTCTTCATAGTTTACAATCATTACATTGTCTTTTTCCTGTCTGTATTTATAGTTCCAGTAAATTATTCCTCTTTCACCTTTTTCTTCAGGTGTGCAAATTAAATTATTAAATTGAGCTAACTTTCAGTGATTTCACTTATTCCATTATAATATCTCCTTAGCCCTTGTTCTGTGAATTTATATGCTAAACAGACCTTCTTTTGCTATATTCACTAAAAATACTGTAATAAAAATAATTTTCACTTTTGGGAATAAGCTCGAGTTTTGTAAACTTCTGAGGAAGAATAACAGAATATTTTATTAATTTCAAATTTTTATTGTCAACATTACGCTTACATGTACACTTTAATACTTATTAAATTCAGTGAATTTTAAAATAATCTGATTGGTAAAGAATAATAATATTTTCATGCTCTTTATTTTCAAATTTAATTATTCACTGTTATGACAAATATGTTCTGCTTGAAGAGTGAAAACTTCTATTTTGTGTATACAGTGTAAGACTAAGCATAAAATAGTCTCAGGTACAGGATTTAAAGAACACCTACCTGGCCAGCAGTATCCAAAATGTCCAAATATGCAGGCTCATTGTCAATCCTAACCTGGGTCTTATAAGCGTCTTCTGAAAAACACAAGATGAAGTTTACATTCAGAAAAAAAGGTATGATTAATTTTTAGGTTCATCACAATGCAGAATTTCTGAACAAATCACACAGATTATCAAATACATTATTCAAGTGAAGCACACAGATAAAGAAAGTTATAACTCAGGGACATGTAGGAAAAAATAATTTCTGCTTAGAGTGAAATCAGGTAGGGTTTTGTTCATCAGAAGAATTTCATGAACTCAGATGCCATAATGATGTTACCTGAAGGAAAAAAAGCCTATGGGAATAATTATCACTTATTTTCTAACAATGCAACACAAAAATCACATCCTAATATGGTAGTTGTAAAAGACTTAAAGCTTTCCCTAAAAAATGAGGAGTATTACAAGAGTGCCTTTTTTTAACCGATTTTATTAAACATAGTACTGGAAATCTTAGCCTCTACTAGGCAAGAAAAAGAAATAGAATACATTCAAATTGGATGAGAAAGAAACACGATCTTCCATGAAAATTTTCTAAATATTGTACACTCACATACACATACACACAAAGTAAATGCATTCATCTAAATTGAAGAATATAAATCCATAAGAGAAAAATGTAGTATTTCTTAAACTAGCAATAAACAACAGAGAAATCACTGTCAATTCAGTTTGCAATAACATCAAATATCAAATACCTAAGAATAAACTTAACAAAAAATGTTAAAGAATATATTAAAAACTATGCATTGTTGCAAAGAGCAGTGAAAGAACACCACATAAAAAGATATTCTATAGCCATGGGTTTGGAGATTTAATAAGATGTTAATACTATATTAAGTAATCTCTAAATATAATCCCATCCCTGTAAAAATTCCAACTGCTTGTTGCAGCAGTTAAAAAGCCCACACAGAAAATACTATGGATCCCTGGCGGACAAAGTGGTTAAAATAGCTTTTAAAAAGAACAAAGTTTGAGGTCTCACATTTACCAGTTTCAAAGCTTCAGTAATCGAAAGAGTGTGGTATTTGCATACAACAGAAATACAGACCAATCATAGCAAATGGGGAGTCTCAAAATAAGGCACAGTATATGCAGCTGAATGATTTTTCACAAGAGTGAAAAATGAAGCTGAGAAAAATGAATATCTAAATGCAAAATAATGAATTTGGGATCATCTTATACCACTATGAAAATTTAGATCAAAGACCTAACAAAAGTGCAAGCTATAAAACTCTTAGAAAAACTCTTAGAGAAAAACTTTATGATATTGGATTTGGAAACAATTTCTTGCATATGACACTGAAAGTCCAGGCAACACAATTCAAAATGGATAAAATAGAGTAAAATGTCTAATCAAAATAAATTTTACACAAGTATAATTGTAAAATATAAGATAATGTGTGTCTGATTTATTTCACTTTGCATATAAGGAATGCTATCGTCAGCAGGACACAGGAACAAATACCTGTACTCCCAGCTATTTGAGAAGTTAAGGATTTTAATAAATTTTAACAAATTGAAGTTCAGGCCGGTCAACTTGGCATGATACTGTCTCAGAAAAGGAAAATGAAAAGAGGAAGGAGGGAAGAAAGGAAGAAAAGAACGAAAGGGTGGAGGAAGCAAGCAAAGAATATCACAATCCATTTGTGCATAAGGAATTTTTTCCTTTATTTGCTGAATGATAATCTATTGCATGTGTCTATCACCTTTTGCTTATTCATTAATCCATTTGTGCGTATTTGGGTTGCTTGTGTGTTTTAGTCCTTGAGAATAGCTATGGAAATGGATATTCATGCACAACTACACCTTTTAAACATTATTATTCTGTGTATATATCTTGCAGTGAATTGGTGATTCACATGTTAATTCTATGTATAAGTTTTTGAGGGCTGACCAAACTGTTTTCTGCTAAAGTTTATATTCCTACCAGCAAAGTATGACAATACTGATATTTTTCAACATTTTTGTCAACATTTGTTTATTTTGTGTTTATTATAGACACGCCGCTAGGCATGAGCGGCATCTCGTGTCAGTCTTTATACGTATTTCCCCAATGAACAGTGAGACCAAGCATTTCCATAGGCCTATTAGCTAGGACAGAGAGTGGTAGGAACCAAATATGGGCGTCTTAAGAGTCTGAGTCAGGTTGAAGCACAGTGGGAGCGTCATCTGGAACACAGATGGATGTGGACCCTTCCCATGTCCCTTGGCAGTGGTGCTGACGGCAGGCACAGGTAAGTGAGAGTAAGCCCATGGAGAAACAGGGCTGTTAGGTCTGTAGCTGGTACAAGTTGTTATGTGATCCAACTCTCTGGGCATAGGCCCAACATTTTAAATGTTACACCCTTGATCTTGGGCTCCATTGGGAAAAATATATTTTATCATTAATTATTATAATATTAATGCAATTAATTAATATATTATGTAGATATGTATTTTCCCTCAAAACTGTCAAATTATCATTGCTGTGGGAAAATATTATCAGGGAGCACCTATTCTGCCATTTTACTAACTCCAACCTCCTTGATACAAGATTTTTTTCCTCCCCCGCCACTTTTAGATGTGAGTATCTACAACTGTAGCATGATTTGTTGCATCTGGAAAGTTGTGGAATGTTGTGTTTCATTTTCTTTCATCTCTAAGTATTTCTCATTGGCCTCATGATTTTTATTTCTACTCTGATGCATCGTTTGTGTGAAAACCATGCTCTAATTTCCACATACTTGTGAATCTTTCTTCCCTCTGCTCTTGATTTCTGGCTTCATTCCATTGGACTAGAAAAGATAACTTTGTGTGATATCATTCTAACTTGCTGCTTATATTGTGAACTCAGGAATGTTTCCTGAAAGAAGTAGCATCTAATTTAAGTAGCAGTTAGGGAGAAGCACAACAAGGAAAAAAAACAAAAATAGAATGAAAGCCAGAAATGAAATGGAGATATCCAATGTATAAAAATATGTCCAACATCTTTAGCCATCAAGAAAATGCAAATCAAAACTACGTTGAGATTCTATCACACCTCAGTTAGAATCATTATCATCAGGAATACAAAAAATCAATAAATGCTAGCAAGCATGTGAGAAAAAAAAGAACCCTCTACCCTGTCCATGGGAATATAAATTAATATAGCCACTATAGAAATTAGTGTGGAGGTTTCTGAAAATCTAAAAAATAAAGCTACCATCCATTTGTGGTGTTTGGTGCATACCTGAATATTAAAGCCAGCATATTATAGAAATACCCATGTACACTGTGTATTGCAACACAATTTAAAATAGGTAAGCTGTGGATTCAGCTTGGTGCCCATCAATAGGTGAATGGATAAAAAAATTGATAAAATACACACAATGGTGTATTCAGCCATAAACATGAATAAAATAATTTTATTTGTAGGAAAATTGATGAAATTGTTAAGCAAAATGAGCCAGACTCAGAAAGACAAATATTACGTTTTCTCTTATACGCAGAATGAGAGACAGAGAGAGAGAGAGAGAGAGAGAGAGAGAGAACATGATAGCAGAAAGGATACTTTAGAGAAAAGAAAGGGAATAGTGTGAAGGCTAGAAAAAGGCAAGGGGGACAATTAAAAGATACACATTATTAAAATGTATTATATGTATGCATGAATGTGCCAAAACGAAATATTCATTAATAAAAAGAAAGATATAATAAAGAGATGGAAATGCTAATTGCCCTGAAAAAGAATATGACCAACTAAAACGCTTAAACGGTTTTAGTGTGATTAAATACTAGAATTTAGAGAAAAGATGTTGACATGCTTTTGAAGATAAGCCAGAGGAACTTCTGCATACATTAAAACAAATCCAGAGTTTGAGCGAGACATGTGAAGTCACACACTGCCTAGATTGAAAATCTGGCTCCACCACATAGAGCTGTCTGAATTTCTTTAAATCACCTCTCCCTATCATTACAATTGAGATAACGTCTGGAACTCATGAAACGCAGGGCCTGTACGTGATAGTTCACGAAGTTTAAATATGGCCACTGTTACTAGGAAATCTGAACTGTATTATAAAGCTATCATCGAAGGTGCATGTTTGGCAGGTTTATTTTGGCTGACATGTTATGAGTGAATTCTAAGGTGGAGGCTAGTGCCACAGAACAATTAAAAAATTTTTAAAAAGTGAGAGAGTCTGTTACTAAGCTAGTGGCATTTGAATTGAAGCAAATTTAGTGACTCACAGGACATTCTTAAGGTAGAAACTACAGCATTTAATAATCGAAAAATAGAAAAATGAAAGCACAGGAGAAGCCCTCACATTCCTACTGTCTGCTGATGGACATTTATGAGAGAGATAAAGCAGAACAATATCTGTCAGTTCAGTGTGGTAAATACTGACTTTGCTGTATGCATGGATGACTTCTGTGAAGACAATGATCAGGCAGTTATCTGGATCTGAGGCTGTGGAGAAGGCTTGGAAAGACTGTCTTCACTTTTATGGATGTTCGCCATCCAAGGCCAATGATTTCATATTTATACTCTCAACCCAGCCTACTTATTTCAGACTGCTTAAACATATCCAGTGTGCCTATATCCTCTGTCAAGCATGGCTTGATCTTCTCAGTCTAGTGTTCACAAACTCCCAAAGTTTGGCTGTATTATATATTTTGCTTTACTCACTATTTGTATTGTAATAAATAAGCAAACCTAGCCATGCCTAAAAGCGTTCAGAAGATCATTAGGTCATCATATAAATCAATAAGTATTCATAGTGATAATTTTGAGCTGCAAATAGGCACATGAATTATTTTCAGAATCTCTTTGTTTATAAAGTAGTAATGATCAACTGTAGGAGGCAATTTTCCAATGCATATTGATTAGTACCTTCAACAAATCAGATTTTTCTTAGCCGCTGAACATAGGAAAGTACACATACACACACACTATCAAGGTCTCTATTCTCAAGGAACTTTTACAATCATGGTGGGAGACACACATAGCAACACTTATATAAAAAAGGATGGTAAGATGCCCAAATACATATGACATAGATTCCATCTTCAAGGCT